ACTGAACACATCGAATCCAGGTTGAGGGACTGATTACCTCATACTTCTACTCTCCTTACCCATTTCTACTTTGTATTGGACTGATGAAGCCACTGTGGCGAAACGTTTCTTCAATAAAGATTCCCATGTGTTGCATAAGTGTCTCAATTCTTCCACTGATATTCCGTACCATCACCTATTTGTTCATACTTCGCTGCATTACACAGCAGCCCGTATCCACTTACATAGGTGGTATACGCTCTGTTCTTTATCTCTCTCCTTCTCGGGCATTATCTATTCCGGATATTGCCTTTCTTGTTTCGTCATTACCGCCACCGATTCCGTTACTTGGTGATTTTAATGCCCACCATTTCCTCTGGGGGGGGGGGGGGATCTCGCTCTCATTCCCGTGGAATTCAGTTAGACTTTTCTTGCCACCCACCCCCTCCATGTTTTAAATACAGGTACTCTCCCATTTTGATCCTGACTCGTACTCTCTTGCATCGATCTGTCTGCTCTTCCTCCACAGCATTAGACTTCACTTGGTCTGTTCTCCTGGACTTGCATGACAGCGATCATTTCCCAATAATTTTTGCTTCCCCTTCATATTCGCCACCTCTTCGCACCCCATGCTGGCAATTTCATTGGGCAAATTGGAACCTTTACTCACACTTAACTGTTTAACGAGGTTCCTTCTTCGTCCTCCATCGATGAGCTTTTACACCTCTTCTCGTCCTCCGTTTTCACCGCAGCTTCTCATTCTATACCCCAAACTACGGGCAGGCATTCTCAGAAATGCGTGCCTTGGTGGTCTCCTGCTTGTGCTCGTGCAGTACGTTTGAAACCCGCTACATGGGGCAGGTATCGGTACAATAGAACCACAGACTCCTTGATTTTAAACGGAAGCGTGCGATCGCTCGCCGTGTCATCCGTGACTCTAAACGCACGTGCTGGCGACATTGTCTCCATCACCTCTGCTTCCTCTGAGTGCAATCTGGGAAAAAAGTACGGCTCCTATTCTGCGGGTTGCCGGTGTTGATAGAGCAAACCCACTATGTTGCCAATGAAATGGCAATCAGCTGGTCTGTATTTCTCAGGGACTCCATCTATGCCCCTTATTTCTTTCCTCAGTCTGCCAGAGAGTTAGCACCCTTGGACTTTTCTTCTCTCAGAGAAGAACAGTATAATGTGCCTTTTACACTTAGAGCTGGAGGCAACACTCTCGGCTTGTCTTTCATCGGCAGCTGGGCCCGACTACATTCATATTCGTATGCTACATTTACATCAGTCAGCCCTTGCAGTCCTATTACGCCTTTACAATCTTATTTGGTCACAAGGAGTTCTTCCACAGCTATGGAAATCCACCATTGTTCTCCCTTTCCGCAAACCAGGCACTACGGGACATGGAACCTCCCACTATCGTCCCATTGCTCTTACCAGTGCAGTTTGCGAAGTAATGGAACGCCTAGTAAATAGACGCTTAGTGTGGTATTTAGACAGTCTCTCCACTCATCAATATGGCTTTCGTAAGGGACGTTCTACCATAGACCCCTTACTACGCTTGGATAAGTGTGTTCATAATGCCTTTGCGAGTAACAACTCGGTTATTGCCATATTTTTCGACCTTGAGTAAGCATATGACACAACTTGGAGGTATAATATTTTAGCCCAAGCCCACTCCTTAGGCCTTCGAGGCAATCTACCATCTTTCCTTAAGAACTTTTTAACTGAGGCATTTGTTTTCGGGTTAATGTGCTCTCCCCGGACTTTATCCAAGCTGAAGGTGTCCCCCCCAGGGATGTGTTCTGAGCACACTTTTTCTCCTTGCTACTAATGATTTGGCCTCTAGTCTTCCATCAAATATTTGGTCATCACTTTGTTGACAACTTCGCTATTGCCTGTGCAGGCGCTGACTGTCACCTCATTAATTTCTCTCCAACATGGGGACCATTTTTGAAATTTGGGGCCCCCAAACCTGGGTTTAAATTTTCCAACCTAAAACTCTCCAAATTACTTTATAACGCTCTTCTCTCAGACCCTTTGTCCCCGGGGCCCCGTATCCCTGAATGAGATGTAAAGTTTTGGGGGCCTCCTTTTTAAATTCTGGTTACCCGGGGAAACCTCGTTTAAACCTCTTGAAGGCAACTTGTCACAGCCGGTGAACATTCTTAAAACCCTTGTCATCTTTCTGGAGTGATCGTCGAACCCTCCTTCGCCTACATTCCACCCTATTTTGTCGAAATTGATTATGGGACTAACTTTTCAGCACATCTCCCTCTCATTCAAACCCTTTACCCCATTCATCACAAGGATTACGTTTATGCCTTTGTGTTTTTCGCTCTTCCCTGTCGAACCCTACCAGAAGCAAAGTTCCATCCTTACCCGATCGGTGATCCCCATTGCCTGCGCTACTAGTACGCCTCAGATCTCCGCAACCTTCCATTTATAAAATGGTCACTGTTTAGTGGGCATTCTTTATTTTTTTCGCCCCCCCTGTTTACTCCGCCCCTTTCTCTTCGCCTTTATTCGCTTTGTCTTCTCTTTAACTACCACCTTTTTTGTGTACATGTGCATTCACTTTTCCCTACCATCTGGTAAGTTCCAGCTGTTGGAGTCTGTTCTTTCTCCCTCCCTTGCTTGTAAGCCCAACTGTCTACGGTCGCTTCCCGCTCTTTTTCTTTACTACTTTCACTCTCATTCTCATGCCATTGCTGTGTACAGATGGCGCAGTCTTCTGACGGCGTAGGATTTGCTGCAGTGTTTCCGGACAGCGTCGTACAAGGGCATTTACTATCTTCGGCTAGTATTTTTACTGCTGAATTATATGCCATCCTTACAGCATTTATCCGTATTGCATCTATGCCTGTGTCATCATTTGTGGTTGTCTAAGACTCCCTTATAGCTTTACATGCTATACAAAAATTTGATACACCTCGCCCCTTAGTCCTCCATATCGAACTTTGGCTATGCCGCATCTTTACCAAGCATAAAGATATTATTTTTTTTAGTTCCCTGGTCATGTTGACGTACAGGGCAATGAACAGGCAGACTGCTGCGCGGTCAGCAGTACATGACCTACCAGTTTCTTAGAGGTATTCCATTTTCGGACTATTTTGCTGCAATATCTTCCCACCTTCACACCTGTTGGCAACAACGTTGGTCTACTATGCTCGGCAACAAACTTCAATCAATTAAACAGTATAGGTTACTGGCTGTCTATTTATCACCAGTGTCGAGGTTGGGAAACTACTCTCCCGTCTTCGCATTGGCCATACTCGTCTTACTCGTGGATATCTCATGGAGAGAAGTCTTGCTCCTCTGTGAGAATTGCCAAGCTCCATTTTCAGTCAGCCACATTCTGTTGGACTGCCCACTTTATCAACGAGCACGCAGAAATTTACCTCTGTCGTCGTCTTCGCTCCGCTGCTCTTTACCTTCCCTTCTCGCTGATGGACCCACCTTTCATCCGGACTGTCTCATTGACTTTCTGACAACTGACTGACTTCACAAATTCTGATACCTTCAGCCCTTTCTACTTCCTCTTGCTACCCTCTACCCCCGTACTATCCCCTGCCCCGCTGTTTTCTGTAACCTGCTGATCATCCCTTCTGCCATCCAATTCTGTCGCTTCGTTCCCTACCCTGCAGCGCTGTATAGCCCTTGTGGCTTAGCGGTTTTTGATTATAATAATGAGCTTCTACAGATTTACTTCATTAACTATCTGCTTAAGCATTAACTTAATATTGCTATTAGACTTCCAATTTTTTTATATTCTACAAACTCTAAGGGCTGTGCTCGTCTAATTTCTTGTTGCTGGCACAAAGACCAGAAGTAAATCTTCCCAAAAGACTAGTATGTATGGGAAGCTCAAAATTTGAGCACAGTGCTTCAAAACTAGTCTTAATTCACTTTCCTGGTAGCTACTAGCTTACCATGAAGCTGAATTCCTGTTAACTCCATCAGTTATCGAGTAAATGGGTACTAGATTTTTTAGCACAATGCTAGCTGCAGCAGTAGGAAGACTAAATTCGTAAATTTCAACTTGACTAAAATAGTTGATAAATATAGCAGTCTCCCAAAGTTTACCCAACTTCAACTTTATCATACCTTTTCTCGATAATTCAGTCTGCCCCCTTAATGAAGCTATTTGTATGTTTAATAGCACTGGGAAAATTGCATTTATCTGACAAACTCATTAGTTACATAACGGTAACTGATAACAATATTTTGGTTACATAAAAGAGTAGGAATTTGTGACACCTAGGTCGTATGTCCCCCTTAGATACCTACAACTGTCTTATACACAAGTTGCTCTAGACCTATTAATTACAAATGAAAGATGCATCAAAAAATTCTGGCTTGTGAATTGTATATTAAAATTAAAGATTAGTTATATTCTTCTGTTATGTAGAAAATGTATCTTTATCACTGTCCAATTTGACTGGAGATTAATATGCATCATGCACAAAAACCTCATTCTAACTAAATTTATGGAAATGCTGGCCAGAATTATAACACAAATCCAGATAGCTTATGAGGTTCCTGAAGTTGTCTTGCCCAGTCCTGATATCTCAAGTTGTGCAGGAATGCACATTCCAACAACCTCTGCTCCTATTTGAAGTGTCAGCCCAATTTTAACCTAGAGCACGAAAATTCTACCCATTATTCACTAATGCTTGTAGTCTCAATTCAGTCTTCTGCACAGGTGCAGTTTCCTATTTTTTATTCCATAATTTTTATTACAGTATGGCCATCTATTTACACATTAATGTATTTCTGGAAAATATATACAGTATTTTCCACAATCACACATAATGAACTAAATATCTTTACCATTCCTGATATACATCTCAAAGTGGAATTTACTCGGTAATTTCTCTGAATTACTACTATTCAAAATACACACAACTCCTCGCATCCTCGGCCCCCCCCCCCTCCCCTTCCCCTATACAAAGCTTAAACACTGGAGACTTAAGCTGCCAATAACTAGCATAACTAGTCTCGTTTTTTCACTGTTGCAGATGGCTGTCCTTGTGCTTCTGCTCTTTGGATGCATCACTCTAGTAAGTCTTTTATTTCTTTGCTATCCTCTATGTTATGGTCTTTGTATCTAAATTTAACTAACTTTTTTTTTCCACTTATCCTGCAGATTCAGGGCCAGGGAATTCCTACCTACGACACTCATTTACCCATTCCACTTCCAACACAGTCTACCTCCACTGTTACTGAACAGGCAAGTATGACTTACTTAAATTTACTTCTAATGTTTTTTAAGTTTTTTATTACTAATATTTTTCACTTGCAGACTACTGTAACCCATACATTAAGGGAGACAACCACGTCTGACGTGTGGGTGACTGATCAAACAGTTGTCACGTTGACTGTCACACGAGCATCTACTAAGTGGGACTTCTTGCCTCGAGAGCCACGGATAGTAACATCCGTGATAAGGATAACTTCCACACCGGTATGAATTTTACCGTATTTGATTCTTTAAACCTTTACTTCACCTTACACTGAAGCTCCCCAACACCAATAATTGGAAAGTGAATGTATTGCTTAACTTCGTGTACTCTAATTCCTCTAGCTTCCTCTTAACGTTTGTAACTTAATTTCATTTTTACAGGTAATAGTTGTAACTGCTACATCGGTAACTAACCCAGTGAGCACAATGGTGTCAGTCTTCAGTCAGTTCGTCACGGTTACCGACACTGTGAAATACTTGCAAACAATAACTCACGTTGCACTCTCGCACGAGGTACCAAAATTCTCACTATTGGTATATTGAATAATTACTCCTCAGTGTTCACTATTACCCATATTTTCTCTTCCCCCCGCAGATTCAAACTGTTCCTGTGGTCACTACACAAGAACTCCTGCAAGAGATAATAACTACTATTACCCAAATTGTAACTACCACGGTTACTTCGACTACTGCTCGCCTCTATAATTAAATTTTACCTGAAGGATTGGACAAGTGAACTTGGTTGTTAATTAAAAATGTTAAATTAAACTACTAATATCACTTTCTCCTACTGTTAACTGCAAGAAAGTTGAACAAACTGCAATGTTCCTCTCAAATGTCGCCTTGACGTTGGTGAGCTCTTTATCTAGCGGATTGTATTTACTCAAATTCCTAGAGCCTGAACCTTCCACATTCTCCCCCCCCCATAGGCGCTGTATAATCCTACGGGTTCAGCGCTACCCCCCCCTTGATTATGCACAGAATACTAATTCTGTTGCCGGTAAGGCCTTTAGTAATTATTGCTATGTATAACTTTGAGCCTTTCTTTATCACTTAAATTGTCCCTTTAACTCTGTGCAATAAAGAAATTCCTCGTACGTATTTGTAATGGGAACCTGATTGACCCTATAGGCCCTTAACTCTTTAGTGTTATGCGGGAAAGTAACCTTTTAAATTGGGAAATTAAACTTCAAGGTGTCAAATTAACCATCGTGCTCTCATTCAGAGGGGTTTTTGGGCTCTAAATTAGTTCAGACCCTTGTTTGGTTGTAGGAAAAAATTTTAAAAAGTACTTGCAGGAAAAATTGTCAAATCTTTTTGTATTCTTTAAACCCCCCATAGGTATGTCCCTTTAAGACATTGAGGAAATAGCAAGCCCCCAAAAGGGAAGGCTAAGAACTGCATAAAGCTGCAACAATATAAAAAGTTACACACCCGGGGGGATAATGTTTTTGGGAATTTCCCTGAATTTTTGCCCACAATCCCCCTTTAAATCTAAACTGTCTAGTGGGGGAGTTGTTTTTTACTTTGTCATGTCAATAAATTGTTAAAATTCCCTCTAACCCCACCCTCCCCCGTCCCTACAGCTAAAGGACTCGCTGGAGGTGGGGGTCATAATTCTTAATGCTGTCCTTTTTGCTGGGGGGGTAGGGACTTTGAATTCAGGGAGGGGGTTTGTAATCTGAAGTTTTCTTCCCTACTGAAATTATAGGCTCTGGGGGGGGGTTTCCCTTTTAAAAGGGGGGGTCCTTCCGGGTGAAGGGGCCTTGGTCTGGGAAATTAGACCATCGGTCTTCCTCCCCGAACCTAATTACCCCCAAATCCCCCCTCCCCTATCCCCCTCCCCCCCCCCCCCTTTTTCTTTTCCTCCCCCCCACCCCCTTTTGCCCTTTCCTCTTTTGCCCTTTTGGGGATTTCTCCCACAGGCGTGCTAGTTCCTAGGAGGAGAAAGGATAGGGGTCCACCAATTCCATTAAGGTTTTTAGGGGTGGGGGTTTTGCCGTGGAATAGGATCCCCGGGGGTCCCCCGACCCCTTTCCCCCGGTATCCGGGATGCTTTGGGTTTTTTGGGGCGACGAGTGATCTCGGGAAGCCACCTTTATTTCGTGGGTGGGGGCCAAAGGAGGAAATTCTTTGGGGCGGTTACCCGGGGCCGCACTCTTTTGTCCACCGAGGTACTCGAAGATGTGAGGTTGCTACCCCCGGATTGTTAGTTTACTAGCAGAGGGGTGGGGTATGGCAAGGTTCCATTGCATCTGCGCTATTTTGGGGTGCTGGGGCCTTTTGGGGGCCGGGGGGAGATTTCTGGCCCTTTCTTCCTTAGGAACTATCCCCCCCCGGTCCCCCCCCTTTTTTTTTTTTTTTTTTTTTTTTTTTTTTTTTTTTTTTTTTTAAAAAAAAGGGAAACCTAACCAGGGCGCCCAGTCCAGAACTGGTACCCCCCCCGGGCCCCTTGATACCACACCTCTTTCCGACCTCGTCTTTTGGACCACTTTCAGACATTCCTCACCCTCTGCTATTCCCGGTGTGTTTCCTCACCCCTAGTACTGGGGCCTCGACTGACCCCTTCATTTATCAAAACCTTTGCTTCCTTACTATGCTTCCCGGGCCCTCTCCTCTAGGGTGCGGAAAAATTTCAAATCGCCGCCCCGCCACGTCGGACCAACTCTGTCCCACGCCTAAACGTCAACGACAATTACCTGCTGATGTCTTCTCCACCTTCCCCTTCTGTTCTTCTCAGAAACGACACACTCCTTCACAAACCTTTCCCCCCTGTTTCAGACTGAACAGTGGACTAAATTTTTCACTTTACAACCAACTTCCTCTACTGCCTTCTTTTTGACCATAGATTGGCAAGGCACTCCTACGCCTGTTGGTAAAAATTTTTTTTTCAGCTCTTAAGAGCGGTACCCCAATCATTACCGTACAGGCTACCCGGCTGTGACTCTTCGTTTTTCCCCATAAATACTTTCCCGTCACCCTTAAAAAACACTTTCCCCTCTTTTTGTAGTGGTACCGTTATTCTGCCCCAACCATAGTTCAAAAATTTCCAGACAGTGGCAAGAAAATCTAAACAGCGGAAAACCCAAGATCTCCCAAACCCCAAAGGGTAGACACTTACGTTTTTCCCGCCCGTGGGGGGAGACGAAAACCCTAGCAATGGGGCTCTAACTTTTGCAGCCGAGAATTCCCACCTCCTTTAAAGAGGAATGGGTTACAATTAAAAGGTGACCCCTACACCACAACGTGTAAAATTGCGGGCGATTTGGCCATCCAGCGAAATATTGCAATCTATCCCCAATGCCATCGTGGGCCGAGACCATTCTAATACGTCTTGCAATCGATCTCCCTCTTTTCCCTTTAACGTCATGGGCCCCCCTTTCGTACTCTGGCCGTTGTCGGTCTATTTAAACGAGCGGAAACCCGTTCCCTAAAAGAGACAGAAGGCCCCCTTATGCCAGGCAGTTTTCCTCCCCGCCCCCAAAGGGAGACTTCCACGTTTTTTTTATTCCCTGTTTCAAAACGCCCCCACTTCGGTATCCCATCTTCTACACCCACCTCTGTGGTTTTCCCTTTCCCCCATACCACTCCTGTATCTAATCTTTGCTGCCTCGGCTCAGACGTCCCTATTTAAAACGCCTCATCTAATCTCGTTCTTCGAGTTCTCTTTACAAGCTCAGATGACGAGACCCGTAGACACCCCCCCCAATCGCCCCCTTACTTCCAAAAGTCAAAAAAGGCCGGGAAACACCTCCTACCCACTTCCCCTCTTCATTTTACCCTCCCTGTTCGCCCCATTCTTCCCCTCTCACGGCTGTTACAAGTGCAGAGGTTCACCCCCCTCGTAATGCCTTCCTCCCCTGTTCCTCCCAATTTTTTCCTTTTCGCCCCCCCCAGGTTCCTGTCTCTTCTTTCCCCGCCACGCTTCTCCAGTTCCCTCCCCCTTCCCCCCCCCCTACCTTGGTACAGTCCAATACAGTTCCAATCTTTACTCATCCTCCCCCTACCATTCCCAATATTGTCTCCCATACGACATCTCTGAGTTCCGAAACACTTGAAGCAATCTCAATATATTGCAGAGACCAAACCATCAATGGACACTGATCCCCCTTTCCCGCTCTTTCTCTCTCCTCTGCTCCATCTGCACAACTCCTTTCTTCACAGCGCACCGTTCCTTCGCTGCTTGAACATTTTCCACTGCCTCCGCATGTGGACTTTTCTAACCCTTCTAGTCCGTAGGAACCCTTACCTGCGGATTTCAAGTATCTTTATCATTGCCAATCATGGCCTATTTACAGTGGAATATACGCGGCCTCAGGGGTAATCGGGGTGAGCTTAAGATGTTACTCTCCCAGTTTGCCCTTGTTGGTGTTTGCTTACAGGAACCAAAATTACTCTGCTGTTATTTCCCACATCTCAGGCTATAATTTATTGTATTCTTCAGATCCTTTTCCTGATGGGACCTTTAATGAAAGTGCCCTTCTCCGCACTGATATTCCGTACCATCAGCTATTTGTTCATACTTCGCTGCATTACACAGCAGCCCGTATCCACTTACATAGGTGGTATACGCTCTGTTCTTTATATCTCTCTCCTTCTCGGGCATTATCTTTTCCGGATTTTGCCTTCCTTGTTTCGTCATTACCGCCACCGATTCTGTTACTTGGTAATTTTAATGCCCACCATTTCCTCTGGGGGGGTCTCACTGTGATTCCCGTGGAATTCAGTTAGAGGCTTTTCTTGCCACCCACCCCCTCCATGTTTTAAATACAGGTACTCACACCCATTTTGATCCTCGGACTCGCTCTCTCTTGCATCGATCTCTCGGTTTGCTCTTCCTCCGCCGCATTAGACTTCACTTGGTCTGTCCTCCCGGACTTACATGACAGTGATCATTTCCCAATCATTCTTGCTTCCCCTTCATATTCGCCACCTCTTCGCACCCCACGCTGGCAATTTAATCGGGCAAATTGGAACCTTTACTCACACCTGTTTTTAAAGAGGTTCCTTCTTCGTCCTCCATCGATGAGCTTTTACACCTCTTCTCGTCCTCCGTTTTCACCGCAGCTTCTCATTCTATACCCCAAACTTCGGGCAGGCATTCTCAGAAATGCGTGCCTTGGTGGTCTGCTTGTGCTCGTGCAGTACGTTTGAAACGCGCTGCATGGGGCAGGTACCGGTACAATAGAACCACAGAGCGACTCATTGATTTTAAACAGAAGCGTGCGATCGCTCGCCGTGTCATCCGTGACGCTAAACGCACTTGCTGGTGAGATTGTCTCCACCATCACCTCTGCTTTCTCTATGAGTGCAGTCTGGAAAAAAGTACGAAAACTGAGTGGTAAATATTCTCCTGACCCGGCTCCTGTTCTGCGGGTTGCCGGTGTTGATATAGCAAACCCACTAGATGTTGCCAATGAAATTGGCAATCATCTGGTCCGTATTTCTCAGGGACTCCATCTTTGCCCCTCATTTCTTTCATCAAAGTCTGCCAGAGAGTTAGCACCCTTGGACTTTTCTTCTCTCAGAGAAGAACAGTATAATGTGCCTTTTACACTTCATGAACTGGAGGCAACACTCTCAGCTTGTCGATCATCGGCAGCTGGGCCCGACGACATTCATATTCGTATGCTACAACATTTACATCAGTCAGCCCTTGCAGTCCTATTACGCCTTTACAATCTTATTTGGTCACAAGGAGTTCTTCCACAGCTGTGGAAATCCGCCATTGTTCTCCCTTTCCACAAACCAGGCACTACGGGACATGA